GATCCTCTTACCGAGTCGATCAGAGTGATAAACATTGAGACAGAATATGCACATGGTCGATTACATGTGTTGGTGACAATTTGAAAATTCTGGGAGGAAATTTTCGGAAATTCTTTTTTTTCCTTCTGAACACTTCTACCTAAATTCGTATATAAAATCCTATAAGCACAGCTGAGGAAAGAGGACTTCGCTGTTGGAACATATATTCCAACATTGGCAATTTGTCATTGAAATCTCCAAAGGTGAAACAGAATTCGACGATTCCAACGGCGGTTACAGTGAGTAGAAGAGAACACCAGTTGCAAATCGCGCATTCTGTCGTAATGGTTCTGTACTTGCTACACCTTTTAAAGACCTATTTCGCGTTTAGGAAGATCAATTTCGCAGGGCGAGCAGATCAGTGTTGTAATATATGTTCGCTTTCCTCAGCTGAGCTCGAAAAAATTTCCTCACACTACGAAGAAAATTCCACAAGTAGTCCACATAAACCAATTAGAATTCACCTTAACTTTCTCACAAATCAAATACATGTAGCGCTTCTTCAACGGAAAGAGCAGAATCGATATCAACGTAATTTCCTCGACGACCCACCTCCGCCGCCTCAAGTGCTGTATTGTGTCCATCTTGCGCATACTTTCCCACATTTTCCACCTGCGAGATGCTCGTCCAGTTCCAAAATTGATGGAGAATCTCCATTGGAGATGTCCTCACCTGTTCTCACATTCCCTCTCCACCTCCAGATGCGTAAAAATGCGCCTCAGAGCTTCCGAGTCAAGTTGCTCTGTTTTCTCCGTTATACTCTGATAATCGTGAAAACCAAATATGTACCAAAGCAAACCCACTGGTAGAACACAAAGTATAGGAATACTCAGGTGAGGGTCGAGAAATCAGAAAGGGTCCTAGTCGTGAAATATGTTTTTCATACCACTAGGGTGAAACTCCGGTGATGGGTTGTTACTCACAAAAATGAACCGGTTATATTCTACGTATTTTTTTCTTGGGAAAAATTCGAAAATTTGGTATTTCACGAAAACTAAGTCGTGTTTCAAGCTGAAACTTCTACAAGGCTTAGATATAGTGCTAAGTTATACGATACTAAAATATGAGTCTCATCTACGTGACCATTTCTCATTCATAAATCATAAATCCACACACATCAACTTACTAATAACAAAAACAACAGTAGGAACATCCCTCACCTTTTTGATTGCGCTCGTTGGCATCATGTTTACATCCTTCCAAGCCGTTTCCTTATATCGTGACTCACTTCGACACCGTTTAAGGGGTATCCATGATCGACTAGTCGCCAATCGACGATCTGCATCGATTTACCGACCAGGCTTTCTCCGACCACCTCACGTACTGAACATTGCTTGTGTTACGAATCTACATCGTTGCTCTTCGCGTCGGGCATTGACAAACTCCTTTTTCACATTCCGCAGATGTTCGTCGAACTCAATCTGGAGGCTCCGTAATAAAATCAACTTCCCCTCCCTTTACCCTTTGTAGAGCCTCTTTGGAGTCCGCGGCAGCGTTCAGTTTCGGACAGTGGTAGAAACGCCAGGCCTGCGTTCCGGCGCGTACGGGGTTGTTCCAACTGATTTCACTCCGAGGGAGACTGATAATAGGAGGGTCGTGAGGAATACCCTACACACTCTCGTCATCGACGCGGATGCCAACACAAACTCTAATAAAATAGGGCTGGGCCGAGAATCGAACTCGGGACCTCTCGCACCCAAAGCGAGAATCATACCACTAGACCACACAGCCGATACAAACAAACATTACAAATCATCGCCGAGCCTCACCCGTAGAAACTTTGATCCTTTATCATATGCCCTTCTCGCGTTCTCCATGCCCCTTCCGATCTATCCAACACACCCCAAGCCCCTCGACCATTCGGCTCACCCTGACGAACAGGAAACTCCTCCATACTCGTGTGCCAAAAACAACAACCATCAGCGAAGTCTTCACTTCTTTTTCAAATTTCATTCTCCCGAATTCGAAATAAGTTCGCTACAATTCGAAACTCTCATATTCAACACAACATGTCTTTGATCTCACCTCACTTTTCGAGACAAATTCATCTCCTCTCGAGAGGACCATAAAATATCAAATATCAAATCAACACTCTGCTGCACTCCGGCAACTAATTGACCAACGAAACATTGACCTTCACACTACGACGAATGATCAGAATCAGTGGGGTCATGATGGTGTCTTTCTCGACACCCTATGGGGCTCATACCAACTCCTCGCAAGATCCTATCCCATCGTGCTTCATCGCAATGCTCACGTCTTGGCAGTGGAGACCTGCTCAGCGAAAATCACAGGAAATTTCAGCAGCCCGCTTCTGAAGAGCGTATTTCCCCTGAGTTGGCATTTCACTCCAGCTTATGAGAGCACGATTCTGAAAATCCAACAAGGCTTAGATGTAGTTATTAATTATCATACATCAGAGTTTCAACCGTTTTACGTGAAGTGGGGTAAAAAAACTGATATTCGCGCTATGCACTAGTCGTGAAACAAGTAAGTTTTCATATCACAAGCGAAACTCCATAAAATATATGCGATGATATTAATGGAGTTTCACGACCAGTTTTACGTGAAG